ACTGCAGAGGGCAACCAGTCATCACTACTAGAGTTAATTAGAAAAAAGGCAAATAAAACTGATCTGAAGATGTGCCCAAGTCACAGTGTAGATGTTAAATCAAGACGCACTCAGGAACAGATGACAATCTCTATTTACTGTCACATAACAAGCCTCAAGAAAGAAACCGATGCAGATGTTCAGCATAACATTCATGAGAATTTGAACAAAATTGGATTTCTAAATCTTAATAGAATCTCACCTAAACTCAAGCCTTTTAAAAAACAGAGTTAAGGAATCTTATTTTTATCTGATCAAGGATAACGTGAACAAGTATTAGGTTTTATTTTAAACCATGAAATCAGTTAGTACATCAAGTGCAAATGTCTACAGAAGACCAGAGAACAAGAGATAAAAATACAGCTACTATCAATACATAGGTATTTTACCACAATACCAGCGTATATAAAGTACCTATTAAATTCCTGGCCAATTCAGCAACAATGTCACAGATTTTTTTCCTCATACTGGACTGTGTTTCCAACTGAATAATCAACAGCAATCCACTCTTGATAGAGGTCTGATCATCGGGTGAAAGAGCTGGATAAACTTCTTCAAAAGCAGAAGACAAAAGACGACGTAGAAGGACAGCTGCCATTTGTCTAGCCTATTGAATAAGAATGTATGTTAAAGCGTTTTGATATGACAATCATGATCTTACAAGGAAAGACGACTAATATCATGCTTCCGAATAATCAGTTTTCCCTGTGTAGACTTGTTTGGTGTATGAAGTATCTCTCAAGCAACAACAGATGACAATTATGATAGTAAGTAGAAACACAATAAAAAAATATAACCTTACAACCGTGTTTCTGACAATTACAGTTCTTTAAAGAAATAATCACGAAATCCACCAAGGTATTCAGTTTCTTCCTAGAGATGGACCTTGGACATATTTTGTGGCAAGGTAAGGACTTAGCTACATTACTGAAAGATAAGTTTGAAGCACGACTTCTTTCTATTTTAAATGACCTGCTGAGATAATTATAATCCAGATGGGTTTTTCTGGACTAACAAGTGACTTAATGGGACAGCCTTGTCAGAAAATTAACCTGTAAACCCTCCTTCACTTTCTCAAACAACCAAACTTCATGCTTAAGATTAAACAACCTAGAGTTGGATTTCTGCAAATAAAACTTAACTCTGATAAAAAAAACCACACCCAAAATCAAAGCTTTCAGCCATTTGCAGACCTATGACAAAACAATTTTCTTCAAACTTCAATGAGCATAGAAACCTCAATGCCACATGACAATCTTCTATGCTTCTTGCTTGCATATAGCGATTCTACAACAGTATAATTTACATATCTGTATTTACTTACCAATACACAAGAAGCAAAAAACATGGCTGAGTAATTCAAAATGAACAGAGCAACACATGCAGTAAAGGCAAAGACACACGAAGCACTGAATACCTTCATAAATAGGATGTTCACTAACCAGTGTTTCTAGAAAGACAAACTGAAAACCACCCCCAAACCTCTGAAGTTTAACGTGTAACAAAACCTTACACATGTTAAATCCTCATGAAAAATAATCCAATATAACATGCACTCAATTTTTTTCCCCCCAAGATATCCTTATTTAATGTGTACTTGAATGAAAAAGAATTTCATTTATAACAGCCTGTGGAATTAAAAAGTATTCAGTGACCAGGAGAACTTACAAAGTCCGACTTCCAAAGATCTCTCAACTATATTGCTACAGTATAACCTACAGATGAGAAACATAAACTGCTGCTAAGTCTCAGCTTCTAATGTACCCTGTAAAAACTGGGTATTGCTAGAACATCTCCCAAGATACCATTCTTTCTTATGTTCCACAGTCTCAAGACTCACTGTGCCTTTTTCCAATCCACCCAGATCTCTCCTATCCCGCTAAAGAGTAGTGCACAAAAAACAAAGCACCTCTATGCTAGCAGATGAGAAGGACTAGAACTGGACTCTACTCTAGATCATTCCTTATCTCCTTAACAACTCCAGTGTGGATCAAAACCACAACGTACATAGGATTAGTAGATCTAAGACAGATGAACAAACAGGGTCACAGTGACCAGCTGTGCAGTAGCTCCCATCGTAAGCCAAGGTTCTCCAGCAACAGGTCATCACATGGGGAACATGACTTAGGAATGAGAAAGATTTTTTCTCCACTGCCTCTAGGAATTCCACTAACAATGTGTCCAAGCATCCTAATGGTAACACACTATAATGGAATCTTTCTTTCTCCCATCTCTGGAAGCATTGATATTGTGAACGATTAAATTTCTCCTTGTTAGTCTGGGGAGCTTACTAAACAAGAGAAACCTTGACTGGGGAGCAAGTTTGCTGGGACTAAACAAGGACAAAATTCCAATGCAGTGTTTCCCTTAGTCAGCATCTTACATTTCTATGCATATTCTCCAACATCAGATAACGACCAAAACCTCACATTGTATTTATTCCTTTCCTGAAGTAATAATAGGTGGCCAGACAGAGAATAAAACTTATGTTCATAAAGCACATAATTCTCAAACATAAGAATTTCCCCCTCTGAAGAATTAAAAATATTAGAAGACTGACAAACACAGACTGATTGCAAAGTAAAAACACAAGTAACAAGGCATATAGAAAGACACAAGACCAGTATTACAAAAATTAGGTCCTGGTTATAGTTACTAGCTTAGAAAAGAATTCCCCAATTGCCCAAAGCAAATTCAAATGTTTGAAGGAGTGACAAAGAAGCAATTGACTTCTAATAATAAATGGCATATTTTCCTCAGCAGATATCCACCTATATATGAAAATAACCACTGTCAATTTAATTATGATGAACATGGCTGGATAATGTCAGCTCTGAGGCTGTTTACTCTGCTTTAAGGAAGAAAGTATGTATTTTTCCACACACACCAAAGGCTCTTTCATATTTAATTATTGCAAGATATGTACCCAAACAAGCATTTTAAAATCCTGTAGCTTTAGCTATAGCTTTTAATGAGAACAAGAACAATACAAAGTGTACATCCCAAAAGAGGAACTTCCAATGAAGCATAAAAAAAAAAAACCAAACAGAATTTTCTCCTACCACTGGATACTTCTGCATCTCTGAATTACTGAGGTGCTCACATACAATTGGAATGCCAAAGTTATTAACACAAATAGTCATAATTCTCAAATTTCAACATACTGCTTATTAATAGAATTTAGTGCTGTAAAAATGTTCTAAAGTTTTACAGATGATGGAACCAAGGCACAAAAGAAAACCAACTTGCAGGTCAACCATACGAATTACGAACAGAAATCTGGAACACCATGCTCTCCCCTGGCATCCGAAGTGTCCAGGTAATCCCACATACTCTGTAAGCAAAAGACTGACCATCTCGTGTAGTACAGTCAGTGATTTTTACTTTTGTTTTATTGTTCCTTTTAGGTCATCAAGGAGGAAAACATGCATGGATGGAAGCAATCAATATCTAGGACACAGTCCAAAGATGGACTTCCACCACTTCATTTAGGGATCCAGCCCCGTGTGGAATTCAAAGCACGCAGTCTCTAAGGTCCTGCATACTCAAAGGCAGAGCTTTGGTGCCTCACAAGTGCATGGGCTGCCTGCCTTCCTCTCCAAATGCTGAACAGGAAGCTGCCCACAGCAGCAGTTTTCAGATTAAGAAACGCATCCCCTTCATGAGGCAATATGGAAAGGAGGAAGGGAAAGGTCAGAGCCCTCTAAGAGGGCTGTGAGTACAGCAGAAACACAGTTTTACACAGCACTTGTTATTGTATTTCACAGGGCTCAAAATTAGTCAACTGAAAATTAGGACGCAATTGAAAACTGCCAAACTAGAGTTAACTGGGAAGAAAATACATGCAAGAGAAAATGCAGAACTTCTGTTTCTTTCTAAGATTTAGGTGGTAAATCAAAACTGCAAAGGAACAGCCTCTAACACCTGAGACACATCCTGAGAATAAAAATCATCAAATACAAACTGTGAATATGTACCACCACCCTTTAAAATGCAGTTGCATAGGAAGAAGTAGAATCATAACTTAGTAACAGTGAGACTACACGATCAGGAAGTTGGAGACCTGGGCTCAAGCCCCTCTTCAGCCTGAGGTGTACAAATTATCTGTCATATCATCTGGCACAGAAGTGTTCCCACTGCTAAGTCAGACATTTCCTCCACTTCTGTGAACAGTGTTACCCTGCTATCAGGAAAGTATGAAATGAGAGGGAAAAGGTGATTATTTCCACAGTGTAAGCATTTGGTTAGGAGAAAACCTATTATAAAGTTAGTTTTTAAAAGAGTTATTTCTGATCTAGCTTAATTTTTTCTTCCCCCCC